GGCCCGCAGCGCCCCCGGCCCGCCCGCCCGCCGCCACGATGCTGGCGCTGCTGTCCCGGCTGCTCGACTGGTTCCGCTCGCTCTTCTGGAAGGAGGAGATGGAGCTGACCCTGGTGGGGCTGCAGTACTCGGGCAAGACCACCTTCGTCAACGTCATCGCGGTGAGCGGGGCGGCGGGCGAGGGCCGCGGGCATGGAGTGGGGCCGGGCCGGGCCACGGGGATGGAGCGGGGCCGGGCCGGGGGGATGGAGCCGAGCCGGACCGGGCCGCGGGGATGGAGCCGGGCCGTGGGGATGAAGCCGGACCGGGGGGATGGAGCCGGGCCGGGCCGGACCGGGGGGATGGAGCCGGGCCGGGCCGGGCCGGACCGCGGGGATGAAGCCGGGCCGGGCCGGGCCGGGCCTGGGGGATGGAGCCGGGCCGGGCCGGGGGGATGGAGCTGGGCCGGGCCGGGAGGATGGAGCCGGGCCGGGCCGCGGGGAGCAGCGTGTGAGGCCTCGCTGGGGGACACGGCTGAGCCTCGGGGCTGCCGTACCTCCGTAGACCTTTGTGCGCTGGTGGCACCCGCGGGGACAGCGATGGCACAGCAGGGGCTCTGAAGGCGCCTGTCGGTCAGGGTGTCGGTGTGGCGGGGCTCTCTTAGCAGATGGGGAGATAACATTGTGTGTCTTCGGCTGCCGCCTCCCTCTGATCGCTTTTCAGTAGTCCTAAATCATTTAAGTGTCATCACCTACTCACGGTTCTCCTCTCAAATACTTATCGGTTGCTGAAACCCATATCAAAGAATCTCCTTTCTTTTAAGGTACAACTTAGCTAAGAAGTACAGCTCACAAGCACAAGCCCATCAGCAGCACACTGCTGCACGGGGGCCTGCTGATGTGGGGCTGTGCCTGGAGCAGGTAAAGGAAGGGTGTGGGAATACTCCTACACGAAGCTATTCCATTGTTGACCGAGATAAAGAGTGGCTTTGCCTAAATGGCCTGTTCAGCTCCATCAGTGTCCTGCTGTGCTGATGTGTGTGATGGAAAACGTTCCAGGAGACAAGCTGGACTTTGGGAGCTCCTGAAAGGGCAGCCAGGGTATCTTTTGGTTTTTCAGGGAGTGTGAGTGACCTAGAATGAGAAAGCTGATGTCTCCTGCTTTAGAGGGAGCACAGCTTCAGCTTGTCTCTTGGTTTTTGAGGCTGTGTCCTCAGCACCCTGGAATACTTGTAAGAATATTTATTTAAGTGCCAGTTGAATGAGTTAGTGGCTGGAAAAGGACTTTATTCTCTTGCAGTTATGCATCATGCTGCACACTGACAAACAGCCTGGAAACCATAACCAAGCCCTTGTGTAGCTCAGGTGTGAGCACTCAGTGGGCTTCCTGATAATCCTGCAAAATGGGTACTTCATGAGAGGTAACTTCTCTGACCAGTGTCAGCTAAAGGTTGCTGCAGTGACCCAGGAATGCCAGGAGCCTTTTCTTTCACACTCTGCCAGTCCATCTGGGCTTGTAGAAATGGAGCTGTGAAATGGTACAGCCTTGATCTGTGGCTGCTGAGCTTGGAGTGTTTCTGCAGCTGGGGGCTCTCTGCAGGCTTCTCATCCTCTGGAGTCCTCCTGGTGATGGCTCTTGACAAAAAAAACGCTTTGTTTCTGTATAGGAGCAGCAGTTTGGGGAGTGACCTGTGAAACCCCCTGCAGGTGTGTGCAGCAGTCAGAGCTGTAGCAGCTGCACAGCAGTCCAGTCCATCTCAGCTGTCTCCAGTGGGAGAAGTTTCCCTGAGTAAAGCTGGAGTCTGTTTCCAGCCTCCTCTGCGGGGGTTGAATCTTGCAAGGTTTCAGCCACATGTTAGGATCACACCCAGGCATTTATCTGAGTGAGTGCCATCCAGGGAGCCTTGCAAAACCCCGGGGAAGGAGGAAGCTGCTGAGCATGCTGACACAGCCTCCTTAGCTGGTTTAGCTTGGAAGCATCAGGCCACGTTTCTGAAGTTGTTAATTAGGAAATCTGGGGAGTCTTTACACAAAAAAACAGAGGGAGGGGGTTTGCCCAGGTGTGTATTATTGGTTTAAACAAAATAATGGCATAAGCTTCAGTTGCCAGTGCAAAATCACTTTTTAGAGCAGTGCAGACCATGGCATGCAGAGCTGTCTTCTTATTTGCTTCCTTGACTGACTTTAGTTCAGAGTCTGCATTTGGGAATGAGTGCAGGAAAAGAACAACTGCTCTCTGCAGGCCAGTTAATGGTTTGGGTGGATGAGGCTGTTGGGATTCCTCAAAACTGAAATGAAAGGAATGACACAGCAAGATGTCCTGTAGGACAGCTCGAAAAGCTGGAGTGCACACCAGGAGCTTGGTGTGGCTCAGGAGGTTGTGTGCTGCCTGACAAAGGGCTCTCGCCAGTCTTGACAACTGTGGGTTTAATCCAGTATAAATGTCTAATGTAATCTCTGCCCATCAGAGCAGGCATGTGGAACTAGAGGGAAAACTCACCCAGGGAAGCTTGGTACAAGGCCTGGCTGCTGCTGAAGTGGACAGGCCATGAGGGGCAGACAGTCCAGTTCTAGAATAATCCCATTATAGATTGGTGGTGGGTTTTGATCATGTTTATTCCTCCAGTGTAAACAAACACTTGATTGGTAATCAGGCTAAACAAGGGCCTGGAGAGAGGACAAAAGGGAGTGGATTTGAACAGAGAGATGGAGAGGTTAGATTAGACATTAGGGATAAATCCTTCCCAGTGGGGGTGGGCAGCCCTGGCACAGGCTCCCAGAGAAGCTGGGGCTGCCCCTGGATGCCTGGCAGTGCCCAAGGCCAGGCTGGACAGGGCTTGGAGCAGCCTGGGACAGTGGAAGGGGTGGCACTGGATGGTCTTGAATGTCCCTTCCAGCCCCAAGCCTCCTGTGTTCAGTTTGATTAGGAGGGTTAGAACCCAGCGTTAGCAGTGAAATCTCGTTAGAGCTGGATCCAGCTAATGCAGCTTCTGCTTTTCTAAGGCTCTGCATTAGTCACTGTCTCTAATTAGATATTAAGCATAAGTTTTCCATGTGTGTGAGTAAACTTGCTCACAAGGGAGGATATCATTTCTTCCTGGTCCTAATTTCCCTAATGTGGATGGCCTGTGGCTCTTATTCAGAGAAACTGCATGTCATCCCGGGATCGCATCTGGAGTTGTCGGCTCCCGAGCCGAGCCCTGGAAATGCCCATTATTTACAGCCTCTGCAGGATCTTGTGGTGTTTGCAGCTCGTGGCCTTTCCCTCAGCCCAGCAGCTGCTGGGAGCTGCTGTGGGGAGCACGAGGAGCTGCTGTGGGGAGCACGAGGGGCTGCTGGGGCCGTGTGGCACCACTGGAACACGACTCAAGCTGAGCCAGCCTGCAGGAGTGCAGCTGGGCAGCAGAAGACTCCTGCAGCTGGGGAACAAAGCAGGGCACCCCTGGGGAGCAGGGCACCCACCCCTGCAGCTGGGGAACAGGGCACTCCTGCAGCTGGGGAGCGAGGCACTCACTCCTGCAGCCTCCACAGTCCATTGCATGGAAGGGTGGCATGGCCTGGGGTTTCTGTAGAAGTTTTGGCCGATGCCTGGTAGGTTGAGCCTTGATCCAGGTGTTTGGCACTGGAACACTGGAGCTCATTAGCCTGGCTCACTGAAGCCTCGTTAGTCAGGGAGCAGAGGTCTGGAGGAGTGGGAAGAAGTTGGAACTTTGCTGATACAGTTATCAGGTTCAAGAGCTAGACTCAACCTGTTTGTGGTGACAGGGTAAATAGGGTCCCTCTTTAGGATTTGTGTCAGAGCCTGAATCAGCGTGGTTGGTTTTTAACTTTGGAATATCTGGCAAGTGTTGGAATGAGACTGTGGTTTCTAGAGAGAGGCAATTCCTAAAGTGCCTCTCAACGAAAGATTCGTTTGGCCAGCTGGGAGCTGCAACTTCCTTCTGTTCTCATGACTGTTAGAAGTAACTTTGGCTTGAAGAAGCTACACCAGAGAAATGCAGAAAAATACTGCTCTGAAGAGCTCCACTGCTGTTTTAATACCTTTTGAACCACCCAGGTAGGCCATAAATCCTGTGTGTTGTTGCTTCATGCACACCATGGTTGATAAAATTTGCAGTCTTTCTTAATGGCAGAAGTCTCTTGAAATGCATTGCATCACTTCATTAGCTAATAAAGCTCCTAGGAGGTGACTCAGACCCTTTCTTTGAGGCCCTGCTTGCTGTACCCTAGATGGGCTAAAACAGGTGACTGAAACCAGAATCTCCTTTTTGCATCTTGGTCCTGAATTCCTGTAGAGCACTTCGTAAGCAATGGCAGAGCTTTGAGTGGTAACATCTGGATAAGGACACTTCCTTGACTGTCAGAAACATGAAATGTCCTGAGGTCTTACATGACAGAGTTCTAGGCAGACATATGCCTTCTTTATGGTTGATATTTGCTAAGCAGTTTAAATATTCAATTAAACTCGGGGCTGGGGAAATAAAAATGTATTTTCTTGCCATATACCACTGCTCTGGTTTCTGCAGGAGTCATTCCTGGCAGTGCTGTTGGGAAGCCTTTCTGGGATTGAAGTTTCTAAACTGGAGTTCAAGCTTGTGATCATGATCACAAGTAGCTGGAACACTGAATTATTTCCTAAAGAAAGAAGCTGGACTGTAGAAAGTTGATTTGTCTGTTTATGAGGCACTGCTTGGTTGAGGCTATGAGTGTTGCAGAGGAGGCTTAGTGTAGGGGTAGCTTGATATAATGCTAAAATTGCACTGCTTTTTAAATAATTTTTTTTAAAGAAGACATTTTGGAGACATACAGCATTTTTTCTTAGTGTGAAAAGAAAGAAATTTCTTGGGATGAGCAGCAGGGTTTAATGTGATACTGTGGTTCAGGTGGGTTGGGAGTGTCCTGGCTGGATTCCACACCCCAGTGGTGTTGTTTCCTAGTTGGTTAAGCTTGTTTGTGATCTCATCTAGCTGGATGAAAAGTACTATGATTAAAGATAAAACAATCCTTGCTGTGTGATAACAAAATCTGTATGAAGAAATTGGTCCCATAACAGTAGTGAATCATGTCAGCTTTATGAGATGCAAAGTAAAGGCTGCTCTGACCTTCTCTGGTGATACAAAGAATGTCCTTGTGCAGGCTGTGGGATCAGTCAAGCTGCTTAGGGGGCTGCAGTCTGCTAGGAGTTGTCCAAGGCCAGGCTGCACAGGGCTTGGAGCAGTCTGGGGTAGTGCAAGGTGCCCCTGCCCATGGCAGGAGGTGGAGCTGAGGTTCCTCCCAATTGAAACCACTCTATCATTCCATAACTCCTTGGAGTTTGAGTTTCTGGCTGTAGTTTATGGTTTTGGAGAGGCAGATGAAGAAACCCAAATGTGTTTTGTTTGGTTTATGGTTTGACTCAAGACAACTGGAAATGGTAGGTTTAATAAGGTTGTAATATTAATTAAATTATAAAATAGACTAAACTTGCATCCTTTGCACACTTCTGGAATGTCAGGGGATGGCAAGTTAAAACTTGTCCTAAGTTTTCCTCTGGGAACTGAACTGTACCTGTAGCTGGCTTGTTCAGAAATGCTGCAGTCTGTGATTTAGTGCTGCCACTGATACACGGTGAGCTGAACCCAAACTGATCCATGGAATAAAATCCCTTAGTTCAGTCTGGATGCATTTTGCTGCTCTGAGTAATCCTTATCCACCATAAGTACTCATCCGGGTAAGTGGGTTCATGCTGCACTAAAATCTCCTGTTTGGGTTCCCCAGGAGATTTGGGGGGAGCATCTCTTAAACCAGGAGGCTGCAGGATTAGTCCTGGGGGTTCTTTGTGCAAGTGGCCTCTGAAAATGGCTGTTTAGTCTCCCTGCCCTTATCTCCCCCACGGCTTGGAGTTAACTTTGTTTGGTGACCTTCGCTTGGTGCTGTGTGGTCTGTGTGACCTCGGGGCTGAGGCTTCCAGCAGAATCCCTGCTGGGACAGCTCCTGCCCTTCCAGGAGCCCTGCAGGGAGGTCAGGGTCTGCCTGCTGGGGTGGGCACCACTGCTGAAAACAAGGCGGTGCTGGATTTGTCAGCAGCTGCTCCTGCTGTCCTTGATGAGTGTTTGAGCAGTCTGCTGTGTGTGACAGCAGCCAAAGCTTTCCCATCGGGAACTGAAAATATTGCTGTGCACATCAAGCTTGTTTTAAAGCTGGTGTTTCAGGAGGAAAAGCATCTTATTGTGAGCACACAGTGACAGCAAGAGTACTCTGCTCTGGGAGGGAAGGCTGATTCCAACCAAGTGACTGCTAGTAAAAGTATGTTCCTTTTGTGCTGCTCTTGGAGTAGCTTTTGCATATGAATACTCTAAGTTGAAGCTGCATTCCTGGCTTTTTTCCTCTGAGGAGGTAGTAAACAAAAGCCCTCTAAATTCTGAGTGTAGAGAACAGTTTCTGGGCCAAGGCAGTTGAATGTGGTAGCAGAATCCATCAAAGGAGATCACTGTCTGCTGCTAAAATCCTTTACAATCGTTTTAACCAATTTTTGACCTTAGAAGGGGACTTCCAATAGCTTCCTTTGGGTCCAGTGAGCAGAGGAACACCCACACTCAGTCAGGGGAAGGTCTTTCCAATGAAGACCTGAGCTGACCCATGTGTTCATGTCAGTTCTGGATTGTCCCTCTGCAGAGCAGAGCACAGGCAGCTGAAACTCCACTGAGCGACTGCAGCTCAAAGGTTTTGAGGTTTTAAGCAAGTCAGAACAAGTTTGGGGATGTGCAGCGTGGGTAGAGAGCACTTGGGAAGGAATCAGATGCAGCAGCTTTCCTGAGGATTCTGTAGAAGTTTCCCTGTGGTGGGTCACAGTAATTTCAGCGTTACATTAAAGATGTGGCAAATGAAGTGCTGCTCCAATCTGCAGGAATGTGTGTCCTGGAAGAGCAGTGGGAGAACATGAAATGGGTACTGAACACGCTGCAATTAGTGGGATGACTGGCACAGTGAGGGCTGTAAACTCCTCACGGGGATGGGCAGGGAGTGTTTGGACAGCCTGGAGCTTGATGAGGGTCATGATAAGGTTGTTCATGGGTGAGAATCAGGGGGAAGGCCAACAAGGCAGATATCCTGGTGGGGGTCTCTTCTAGACCACCCAGCCCAGCATGAAGAGGCACCAAAATCCTCTTTAAGCTGCTGGGAGAAGTCTCACTGTGGCTAGGCCTTGTTCTCATAGGGGACCTCAGCTTCCCACATGTCTGCTGGAAATAAACGCAGCAGGGAGCTGATGAGTCCAGGAGGTTCCTGGAATGTGTGTTCCTATTGATAAGAACAGCTCTGGAGAGAAGGATCTGGAAGGATCTGAGTGGGAATAGTTGGCAGCGTGTGGGGTAAGGCTCAGCAGCGCAGAGATGGAGGCTCGGGGAGTGCTTGGGAGACGCTGGGATAGGAGCTGTGGGTGTGGGGTGTGACTGTGGAGGCAGGAATGTGGAGGCAGGAATGTTGTGGTGCTTGAGCAACTGGCAAGTGACCCTTCAGAGGCAAGATTGGTTTGAGGAGCTGAACTGAGCTGCCCCAGGCGTGGCAGCACAGCTCACCATGGGCTCTGAGCTGTGCTGGTCACTCTGGCTGCAATGGGCAGCTCGGGCCCTGGCATTTGGGGCAGGAATGGGCAGCTCCTGGACTGACATTCCCGTTGGGCACCCACCCTACCATGTGAGAAGGGGTAGGGTGGATTCTGAAGCAGAGCTGCAGGGCCTGACCCAAGCTCCTGGTGCAGCCCTGGTCCTGCTGGCCACACTGCTCCTGATACAAGCCAGGAGCTGTTGCCCTTCATGGCCGCCTGGTCAGGCTTAGCTGCTCCTTGCAGCCTGTCAGGCCCTAACTGGGGTGCTGTGTCTGCTTCAGAGATCCCAAAGGGCTTTGAACCCCAGGGAACTTCTCTGGCCAGTGTCAGGGGAGAGATGCAGGCTTTGCTGCAGTGATACCAAACCCTAATTAAACAGCTGAATGCTTTGGGATCAACCCTAATTTTTCCAAATGTTCTTGACTGTCTGGTTCTATTACACATAATGGATGTAGTGAGCTTCATAATGGCCACGGTGGCTGATTCACCTTCTGCCAAACAGCCAAGGGAGGAATCTGTAGTAGTGTTGAAAACTCTTGTTATGGCTACAGGAGATAGTTGGGAACTTGGCTCTCAAGCTGCTGCAGATGGAGGTGTTACAGACAGTAAAACATCTGCCACTGGAGGAGCTCTCCAGTGCCGTGCTCCTGCAGCAGTTCTGTCCCGGCTGGGAGTGGTGCTGGGAAGCAGCTCAGAGCCTCTGGAGCTGCACAGGCTGGACACTGGCCTGGCAGGAAGCTGACCCGGCAGGTCCTTCCACTTTGCAGCCTTTAACACTCCTCAGGGAGTCACCCCATACCTGTGGGCAGGAGGCTTCCTCCACAGGAGTGATTTATTGCTGCAAAGGCTGCCCAGATTTATTGCTGCTCTGCTTGCATCAGAGGGAGCCCTTCTGGATATTTCTGGCTCCCAGGTAACGGGAGATCCCGACATGCAGCCTTGGCTCCAGAAGTAGGTGAATGGCTCTTTCCTCCCCTTGCCCTGTCCATCTGTTAAGCTGTGCAAAGCACTCTCCCAGGTGACTTTGTTCCCCTGGCTGCCTCGAGGCTTGAAAAATGATTTCAGTGCTTGTAAGAAATGAGTTGTCTGACTTCACAGAAGCTCCAGCACACGTGGATGTAACATCCACGACTTCTTGGCCGTAAAACCTTCAGTTGGAAGGCAAATGGTTAGAAAAAGGTTGTGATATTTTACTATGTAACCAGTTGTGTCAGATAAGCACTAAATTTAACTTTGTCTTTTTTCTTTTTTCCAGTCAGGTCAATTCAGTGAAGATATGATTCCTACTGTGGGCTTCAACATGAGGAAAGTTACAAAGGGTAATGTTACAATAAAGGTATGTTGCCATTGTTGACTGTTTTCTTTAGGTTCTAGTTTGCAATTTACGTGTTTGCTCTGTTTTGCTTCCAGCCTTGAGGCAAATATAGAACACTGAAGAGGCTTAGCTAAATCTGTCGAGTAGCTTAAGAAGACATTTATGTTTATTTATGGAGTTTCTGAAATGAGAATCTGTGTGTGGTTCCCAGGTTCATGGACTAGTTAAAGCACTGTTGTGATAATGCTGTCTGGCTTAGATATGAATGTTTGAGGCCCAGAGATGCTGTTTCCTGCTCATCAGTTTGCTTAAGGGAAGGTTTTTAAAGTGAATACATTGTATTTTCTTGTGTAGTTCAGTATGTAACCTTCATACACAGGATGTTCTTACATCTGGTGCAAGGTGCTCCAGTTGGCACCTCCTGCTGTGGGGCCCTAAGCTCAGAGCAGCTGTGCAAGGGATTATTCCTGTTTTAATATGGGAGGGGTCAAGCAGCTGCTTAAGGAGAAAGGGAAAACTGTAGTGATTTCTTGTCTTATCTTTGCCTGACATGTTTAAACAGTGCATGGCTAAATTGTCTTTCTCCCCTTGCCTTAAGATTTGGGATATAGGAGGGCAGCCCCGATTCCGGAGCATGTGGGAGCGATATTGCAGAGGAGTTAATGCTATTGTGTAAGTGTCCTTCCTTCAGCTCTGCTTCCTTCATTCTCTGGAGCCTTCCTAACACTGCATGCCTGACTCTCTGGTTCTCCTTGTGATTCTGAACCTGCACTGCAACCACACTGACCGTGTTCACCCTTCAGTTCAGGGCTCAGGATGGGTTATTTCATCAGTGTCTGATCTGGAGTACTAACTCCTCCCTGTCTGAACTGGGTGGCAGTGCTAACTCAAAGCATCTTCCTTCTGCTCTGGTCTTGGAGAATGTTTTTAAAGAACTAAATCTTTGCTCAGAAGTCCTAGCTTTGTTGAAAACCTTGTTGAATGTGCTCAAACCTGGCAGTGTAAAGAAAAGAGTGATGTTTCTGCAGGAGCTCAGTATCACTGACCTAACCTGAAATTCTCTTTAAAGCTACATGGTAGATGCTGCAGATCGTGACAAAATAGAAGCCTCTCGGAACGAGCTGCACAATCTTCTAGATAAGCCCCAGTTACAAGGAATCCCTGTAAGTAACATCACCTTAAACACCATGAAATGTCTCTGAGCAATGTGCATCACTTGAGCAACTCTGAAGTCTGCCTTGAGCTCTGAGTTATAGGGCCCAACCTTACTGGTCAGTATAAGCATGGCCAATGCCTGCCCCCAGTGCCTTAAACCAGTTTTTGACCTTCAGTGGTCTTATTTCACTCAGTGCTCACAAAACATAATAAATACAACTGAAACAGCAGTTTAGAGGATTCCACAGTGTGAGTTTGTGCTATTGACTAAGGGTTGACCACAGTGTAGTACAGAAGTGTAGAGTAAGTTTGAGGAATCTCAATGAGTGTGCTGCAAATGTTCTCAGATTTATCAGCTGTTGTATTCTCTTGCTTGCTCTTTGCACAGAACAGTTTATTTGTACCCCCTCTTTCCCTGTGACTAGATCAGTCTTCTTTCTTGATCTGGTTTAACTGCATATATCTTGTTCCATTAGATTTAACAGGCAGATGCAGACTGCTCATGAGACTCCCTTGAAGTTTGTTTTTTGGTTTTGATTGGGGTTTTTGTCTGTTTATTTGGGGTTTTTTAAAGCAAAGCAACAACCATTTCCTTCTCTGGATTTCAGGTTCTAGTACTTGGAAATAAGAGAGACCTTCCTAATGCTTTGGATGAGAAACAGCTAATTGAAAAGATGTAAGTCTAACCCTTTCTAAGAAACATTTCTCTTCCTCAATAAATTCATGTACATGGAGTTATTAGATCAGGAAGCTCACATTTATGAGTGGAAAACCCAGCAACAGCAGGTAACAGAATATTGTACAGAACAAGTTGTGTGGGGAAGGGGAAGAGGAGCAGCTCAGATTGTCAGTAAGAGCCCTTGTGTCAGTGAAATGTGTGCTGACATGTTCTCTCTTTCCTAGGAATCTTGCTGCTATTCAGGACAGAGAAATCTGCTGCTACTCAATTTCTTGCAAAGAGAAAGATAATATAGGTAACTATTAACCCAAAACACTGAGATTATGAAGTGCTGTCAGAGGATGGACTGGGGGGATTTTAAGTTCTTAAACAAACTTCCTGTCTTCAGGAAGCCAGGAACAAATCAAAGACCAGTGTGTGAGTGCATGGGTTAAACTCAGCATAACTCCTGATGGCAGTGAGGAAACCTGACTGGTGTTAAAATTTTAGGGGTTGTAGTTTCCAAAAAATGCCAGTCCCTGTGAAATACACTCCCTTCTTCAGTCAGTTGGCAGCAAAGAGCTGACTCTATTCCATTATCTTGGCCTGAATGATTTTATACTTCTGTCAGGTGCTCTCACCTCTGCCTCACTTGGTCAGGATGCCAAGTACTCGCAGCAAGTTCTTCTTCAAGTTTATTCCCCAAGATTATTTCCCTTGAAATAATCACCTTCCCTTGCTGTGTTATCAGAGCAGTTTGTGTTGTGCCATCTGCCAGTCCCCTGCAGCCAAACAGTGCCTTTTTCTGGCACAGGCATCAAATGCTTCAGAAACTTGTGGAGTTCAAAGCAGAAACCATGTCCTGTAATCTCAGGTATTTGCCATCAGCTTTGTGAGTAAACTAAGTCATCTCAGCTGAGTGAAAACAGAATTTAACAACACTTTCCACCCTTTTCCTGACGCCTTCCTTGGCTGCCATGGGATCAACCCTGGTGCATTGCCAGGGTAACAGGAGTTTGCTATGAGGCAACTTCAGGGTGATGCTCCCAGGAGAGGCTCTAAAGGATACCAGGCTTTATAGGGAAAAAAGCTTCTTTCTAGGAAAACTGAATAGTCTGTGGGACAGTTGTGGCTTCCAAGAAGCCCCTGTCACCAGCTCTAAAGGATACCAGGATGGCTTTATAGGGAAAAAAAGCTTCTTTCTAGGAAAATTGAATAGTCTGTGGGACAGTTGTGGCTTCCAAGAACCCCTGTCACCTTAGCATCAGTTAAATGTTCAGACATGCTGGATGGAAGCAGAGGCTCCCTTCTGTGGAGATCCACACAAGGCTGCCAGCACACTGGGCACCACTGAGGCTGGAGGAGAGCCAGGGCCTTTCCCTTCCTGAGGAGTGCCTCTCCCAGGCAGGGAGGAGCACGAGGACCTGGACCACAGGGCTAAACCAGCCTTGTTCTCATCGGGGAGGAGCTGCTGGCTGAACAGAGCAGTGCTGATTTAAAACTAATGATTGGAGCCATAGTGAAGTGTCCCATGAAGGAATATCTTTGTCCTAGAAGTGGGCTGAACTGAGGAGCCAGGATGTGTGGGGCAGTGCCTGTCATTGCTACCTAAAGAATGCTTAACAGTTACAGGATCAAACATGACAGCAAACATCCAGAAAATCATTGTGTTCATCTGCCCTGGGCCATCCTCTAGAGAAGGGCTGGGATATTCCTGTCCTGTGTTTGGGACACTGGAATACCAAAGCCTTGCCACTTGCACCAACACAGACACTTGAATGTGGAACTTCTCTTCTCTCTCCCTGTAGATATCACGCTTCAGTGGCTTATTCAGCATTCAAAATCTAGAAGAAGCTGAAGTCTTCCTGGAATCTCCAGTACCAGTTGGCCATAATCTCAATTGTCCACTTCCCTCCATAATGAGATACTACCCCAAAATCCTGTATCAAGAATCTGCCTTTTCACGGTTCATTTCTCATGTGCACTGCTGAAGACTTGTATTCCTATTCTGTCACAAAACAACTAGAGTTGTCATGATAAAGTCAGCACAAATATTTATTTTACAACCATCTGTGGTGGGAGGGTTGTGGGGGGGCTTTTTAAAGAAATATCTCTACCATGTTAACTACGATGGTACACTCTGTTCTGGTTTTTCAGGGCCAGGTTTTTATATGATTTTCAGCAAGTGTTTTATTTCTAGTGTTTAGTGGCTTGAAGATGCTGATGCTTGACAGCATTAAGATTCTGCAAGATGCCACATACAGTAGTTAGAAAACATTTAAGCGTGAATTGTGGGATACTGATTGATCTCACAGATGCATGTGATGTGTGTATGTAAGCAGAGGAATGGAAACTGTTTGCAGAGGGGAGCACAAGGTATAGATCAGCATCACTAATCTACAGCTGAGATCCTGTCACTGGAAAAAGAAAACTCTCATGATGAATTAGGAAAGTCATCTGTTTAAAATCATTCTGTTGCTTCTGTTTAATATTTATGTGGGGGATGGGAATGGACTGTTCTGTCAAACTTTCAAAAATTGGAGTATTCCAGCATGAAAACAAATTGCTAGGAACATCAGGCTGTGTTCAAATACATTTTTCTATCTCCAGATACTCGTGGTCTCTCTCTGAAACCAGAACATGCATTCTGAGCAGCTGCATGACACCCAAATTACTGATGCTCTTGTATCGAGGCAGTTGTCGACCTTTAGCACAATCTGTGTGTAATTGTCAGTGTCTCCTGCTCCTGGAATGGCTGGGCACAGTTTCACCTGGTGCTATGGAATACCTGGGCTATTGTGACAACTCTAGACCCGCCTGCTTTCTTGATGTAACCATGTGCAAAGCCTGTCAGATGCAATGAAATGTTTTGCTGTGTCAAAGCACAAGAGAGCCAATGAATTGACCCTGTCTCTTGACTAGCTGCTGCAGCTTAGGGAAGTGTGTATAAACTCAAGACTGTCACGTTCCTGTAGCTTTCCTTTCCCGGTGACTTGAGCGTATTCACAGGGACAGCCTTGTCGAGGCTGGTTGTTCATCAGCAGTGTCAGTGTAGCTACCTGTGTGTGCAGCTCATGGTGCAGCTCGTGTTGCCTCACACCGTGTGTGACTCCCCACTCCTCGTGGTTTGCATCCCTGGGAGCAGTGCTGTCCCCTCCCTTCTGAGAGCCAGTGTTAATGCAGACTGCCAGGCCTTACTGTCCTGTCCCAGCTCTGGCACTGCTGCACAGACACTACAGCTGCCTGCCTTCAGCCTCAAGTTACGTTTGAACTTTTTGTCCCCTTTCAGTTCTCTGAAGCATGGTTTCAATTAATCCATACTCTGGTGCTGTAGAGGAGAGGGTGTATTAACTTGCTACTGTAGTCCCGAGTTCACCAGAACTGCTACAGTTACTTTTATTTAGCAACCTTGCTTGTGCCTATCGTAAGGAAACTAAACTAGAATGTGTGAATCTTTGTGGGGGACCAGGTCACTGTTTAGTTAACTGGCCTATAGCTAAACTTGATGTGTTTGGTGTTTATCTACTTCACTGCTTTCAGCATTTATGGCATCCAAACACTACCAATTGTTAACCTGTGCATTACTCTCTGCATGTGAACAACTTATACAATTACTGAACTTTGTAAATACGTGATTTTTTTTTTATTTAGGTGGATGCATATGTTGGTTTACTGCTCTTCAGCTTTATTCAATAAACTTATGTTTTGAGGGTTGTATTGACACTTAACTGCCTGACTTGAGTTGATGTGGCTGAAATCATGGAAAAACACAATGGGATGTCTGTCTCCTCTGCCAAAGATTCCAGTGGGGGAAGAAGGATTGCTAAATACCTGAGCTGATTTATATTCTGTGGTTCAACTGTTCCAGTGAAATGCTTACAAAACTACCTTTGAGGCCTGGGGCTTGCTCACCTTACCTGAGCAAGCTCGGATAGTCAGTCTGAGAGATTGCAGGGCTTTTTTATGTGTGTGCAAAGCACTGGTCAGCTGCAGGGTCTGAAGCAGGGGCAGCCTTCTGGAGCTCAGTTTTCAGGAGAGAAATGCATGTGTTTGCAGTCTTGCTTGTGTGGAGCCTAGGGTAAAACCTTTGTTTTCCTACACAAGTGTCAGATCTTGCAGTGCCTGATCATTCACTGCCAATTAAAGCAGAGGGATTCTTATCTCAGTGGAAAGTGAGGCTTTTGTTGACTGAAGTCTTGAACAAAATCTTTGCTGTGATTTTAATCAGAAGTTTCACTGACTGTTCTTCCCAAAGGTTTTTGTTGTATTAATTTCTCTTAGGACACTGATTAATTAACAGGACTGTCTGTCAGCATCTTCCAATCAATGGTAAGAAATTGGATGTCTTGTTTCAGGCTTGTCTCCATGTAAGCTTTCAAACTTACTGAGCTGTATCAGGTTAGTTTTTAGTCCTGAGTGCAGGTCTTTGAGCATCCTTTGTGTGTAATTCGGCTGGTGGGAAGGACTAGTGACCTGTTAAAGGTTCTGTGAATATTTCTTTGGGGGTTTCCTGCATGCAAAACAAGCTCCCTGCAGTTCATAGTCAAAGCAAAGTGTCTCTAGACACAAATCTGAAAGCAGTGTTAGTGCACTAAGCCTTGTCAGCCTGGTTGGTGTGGTAGCAGTACCAGGCATTCAGTAAATCAGCTGTGGCATGAACTGGCCCACAGCTCTTTGCTTGATGTGCTGTTTCAGTACCAGTTTGAGGTGTAAATAGCAGGAGAGACACAGGAGCCCCCAGGATGTGTGTGCTCTGAAAGGTACACTGCAGTACTCCCCAGATGTCCCCAGCTGGGTTTCAGAGCTGTGGTGCTGCTCTGCCACATGCCCTTGGGTACTGCTGTGGCAGGAAGGAGACCTCAGAGTGGCTGCACTTGTGCTGTTTCTGGCCTTCAGTAACTTGCCAGGTAGCTTTTCTTTGAAAAGGGGAGGAATTGTTTCCTTCTCAACACCTTCTCAGCCTTGGGTGAAAACAATACTCATCAGACACTTTATGTGCAAGGTTAAATCTTTTCTGGCCTGATGAAGGTGTGGAGCCTAGCACAGGCATCAGCAGTGGTGTTTGCAGAGCTTGGATGCTGCAGCTGTGTTCTAGAAATGTAATCTGTGTTCTAGAAATGTAATCTGTGTTCTAGAAATGTATCTCACCATGGTTACTTGTCTCAGGCTCTGTAGTGAGCATGGACAGTAAAGAGGCTGATTAAATTTCCCGTTCTCTTCACAAAAGTTGCTTTTGGGGATGCATTTTAGTTTCATAAGTTACTGCATTTGACATCAATATAGTCATACTTCTGTCACCCAGTCCTGAAGCTCCCCTGATGCAGGTCTTGACTGCTGGCATGTTAAGAGAAGCAGCTCTTGTGCCAAGGTGAACCCCTGGAAGCTGGACAGCAGTCCTGCCTCTGAGACCTGCTGGGGTGTGGGCACTGTGTGCTGTCCTGGGCTTTAAATCAGCTCAGTCCTTGCTGGAGGCTCTGTTCAGTGCCAGTTTCAGAGCAGCAGTGATGAGGAAGGGTTGTGCTTGCCCCCACAGCTCTGCTGCAGGAGTTTCCTGGGAGTGTCCCTGTCCCCCCAGCTCCATGTGGGGGGTGGTTCCTTGAGTGCAGTCAGAGCAGGGGAGTTGCCATCACCCAGAGCAGCTCTGTGCCACCACTTGGCAGCAGGAAAGATGCTCAGATGTGGAGCTGTTCCATCATCTGTGGAACCAACAATCCAGTTCCTCAATGATTTATGTTTTATCTTTGCTTCTTGATGGAAACAGGTTGGAAAGATTTTGGGTGCTGACATATCAAACTGCATAATCTTCACTTTCTGGTAGAAGTAAAGGCCAAAGAAAATGCCTTAAACAGTCTGTGTGTTGACTCTAGGAGTGTTGTGCAGGGATCTGTACTAAGCTGAGGTATGGCTTAGCAGGATTATCAAGCTTTGGGCTCCCTGAGGTTCCCTTTGTGGTTTGTGGCTGTCCTGGTTTGCTTTGTGCAGGAACTGCTCCCCTGCATGCCCAGCGCTGCTCCCCTGCCCTGCTCCTGCACTGCCCTGACCGTGTGCACCCCAAAAAGGGGTGAGAACAGATTTAGCTGTGTTTCCAAGCTGACACAGACAGTGTGAGTGCCTGAGCTTCAGGGCTTTATTCCCAAACTGAGTGCAGAACAGCTTGTCTCAGCAGACCATGACCCTTGAGAGTGCCCTGCTGCTGTGGGGCTGCTGCTGTTCAGCGTGTCCTGGTGAAACTGGGCTTTTCTCTTACGTGCCACTCCAGTGCAAACACAGAATGGCACTCACAGGGGCTTTGCACATACTCTGTGAAAGGACAAGTGAAATACTTGATGGTTTTATTTCCCTCCCAGTGGAAGGTGGGTAAGTAGACCTTTGTGCCAGGATTAGTGCCTTTTAATTATGACATGACAGGTTTTATTCTGTTCAAGGCAACATGTATCATTGTGATAATTTTGAAGTGCTTCAATAAAGTGTTGTTGAAAACCACTTTTTTGCATATTCATCTGTAGTAGGATAACTGATTTATTACTGTTAGAAATATCTAAGAACCCTCATTACCTAATTTAACTACATAACTTCATCTGGAGAGTGTAAACCTTGTGCTCAGTGGGGGCAACTGTGAAAGGCCAGGCTGTGAAATTCCCATTCCTGATTGTTTTTGTTCTGGAAGCATTGGTTGGTCTTATTTGTGCTTCTCTCTGAAAAGACCTGTGGGGTTGAAGTTCCAAAACCATATTATTCAACAAACAGAGCAAACACATCAATAGAGGAAGAAAAAGTTGTGGTATGTGAAATTTAAAGCTGAACTTGGTTTTCTCAAGAGTAAGGAAACTGTTATGGTGCTTGTGTGTAATTGTGGTAATTTGGGGTGTGGATACTTCAGTCTTTGCCACAAGAAGGAATTTTCCTCCTTTTAGAATCAATAATGAATTCTCTTCTTGGTTTGGGTAACATTTAAAAGATCCATGAATTCTGCAGGCTGAGGAAGGGAACTGAAAGATTGTCCAGGCTGGAGGATTTTATCCAAAATCAGCATCCAGAGGTTGGGATGGACCACCGAGTTGTGATACTTGGTTTGGATTTATTCACTCTACTGTTCCTGTTACAGTAACTGGAAAACAAAGGCTTCTGTCCTGCTCTCAGATGCAGGCTGAAGACAGATCCCAGCAGTGCCAGCTGTGCCCCATGCCCGCCTTGCCCCAGCCCGCAGCCCCGAGTGCCAGCTCCAGGGGACACCTGCAGGGATGGGCTCTCCAAAGCTGCCTGGGCAGTGCCAGGCCCGAGCAGCCTTTCCGCGGAGGAGCCCGCTGCTGTCCAGCCGCTGTCCCGGGCGCGGCGGTGACCGCAGGGCAGGGCCATGCTCCGGGCGCGACCCCGCCGTGCCACGACAGCCCCGCGCCGCCCCGCCCCTTTAACGCCGCCGGGCGCTGCCCTTGAGTGACACGCCGCGCGTCCAATAGCCGGCGGCCGCTGCCGGCTCCACCAATAGGAGCGCAGTGCGGGCGGGCCTTGTGACGCTCCCAACCCGTGTTTTCCTTCCGCCTTAAAGGGGCCGCGGCGGCGGCGGCGGGCGGCGATGAGTACGAGCGGCGCTACAGCGGCGCCTTCCCCCCGCAGCTGCGGGCGAGGCTCCGCGACGCGGCCCGGGGCATGTTCGTGTTCGGCTACGACAGCTACATGGAGCACGCCTTCCCCCGCGACGAGCTCGACCCGCTGCACTGCCGCGGCCGCGGGCCCGACCGCCGCGACCCGTGAGTGCGGCCGGGCAGCGGGGCCGGGGGAGAACGCTGCTGAGGGAGCGGGGGAACGGCTGCTGAGGGGACGGGCTAATGTGTGCTGGGAACAGGGGAGAACGCTGCGGCGCCGCTGCGCTATGCGCGGGCGGCCATGCGATGGCGGTCGGTGGTGCTGGGGCTGCTGCTGCTGCGGCTCGGGCTGCAGGCGCTGCTGGCGCTGCTGCCCGCGCTGACCGCCGCGACCCGTGAGTGCGGCCGGGCAGCGGGGCCGGGGGAGAACGCTGCTGAGGGAGCGGGGGAACGGCTGCTGAGGGGACGGGCTAATGTGTGCTGGGGACCGGGGGAACGGCTGCTGAGGGAGCGGGGGAACGGCTGCTGAGGGCCGGGTTCATGAATGTGTGCTGGGGAACGGCTGCTGAGGCGACGAGCTAATGTGTGCTGGGGACCGGGGGGAACGGCTGCTGAGGGCCGGGTTCATAAATGTGTGCTGGGGACCGGGTGCTGAGGGCCGGGTTCATGAATGTGTGCTGGGGAACGGCTGCTGAGGGACAGGGGGCGAATGGCCACTGAGGGAGCGGGTTAATGGATGTGTACCGGGGGCCAGGTTAATGAATGTCTCCGTGGGGTGTGTGCCTCCCTGGGGGTCAGGCTGGGCCCAGGCTCCTCCCGGTGCTGCCCAGCCACAGGGCAGTTGGTAATGGCCATAAGCTAAAATACAGAAAGTTTCATGATGAATCGTGGCATGGTTTGGGTGGGAAGGGACCCTAAAGCCCACCCAGGGCCACCCCTGCCATGGCAGAGACACCTCCCACTGTCCCAGGGTTCTCCAGCCTGGCCTTGGGCACTGCCAGGGATCCAGGGACAGCCACAGCTGCTCTGGGCACCTGTGCCAGGGCTGCCCACCCTCCCAGGGAACAATTTCCTGTTAATATCTGGTATAAACCTCCTCCCCTCAAGTTGGAAGGCATTTCCTCTTGTCCTGTCACTCTAGTCCCTCTCCATATTTCTTGTAGTCTCCCTTCAGGTACTGGAATGAACTTTCCGTAGTGGGGCAGGGCTGTGGAACAGCTGCCCAAGGAGTCATGGAGCCTCCCCTTTTGGAGCCGTTCCAAACCTCCCTGGATAGTTCCTGTGTCACCTGCTCCAGGTGACCCTGCCTGCGCAGGGGGTGGGACTGGATGATCTGCACAGATCTCTTCCAGCCTTAACAATTGTGTGGTTCTGCTCTTCCAGCTCCAACCTGAACATCAATGATGTGCTGGGCAACTACTCCCTGACGCTGATCGATGCGCTGGACACGCTGGCGGTGAGTCCTTGGCGTGGGGACACTGCCCTGGCCACCCCAGGGAGTGCCCTGGGACCTGCTCTGGCCACCCTGGCACCTGCCCTGGCTGGGGGAGCTCCCCAAGGCTTGCCCAGGTGGTGCAAACAGCTGGATCACGAGCTAACAGCTGGATCATAAACCAGCAGTGTCACGTAGGGGTAACAGAGTGAGAGTAGTTGGAGATGTCAGCAGAGATTTCCAGAAGAGACAGAGAGAATTTTGGAGCTCCTCCCCGAGTTTCAGACGAGATCTCTTTGGGATGAGCCAGGGTGGGTGGATTTGAGCTGGAGCTGCTGTGAGTGGCTGAGAGGTCCATCAGGTTCATTGTGTGCACAATGCTGGGGGAGCTCTGGTTGTTTCACTTGGCAGAGAGGCCTGACTGACACATGGATCTGAGTGAAGAGTGCTGAAAGCAAGGAGGGGAAATCCTGTAAAGCTGCTTCTCAGCTGCATTTCTGATGACACTGGAAGATAACATGAGGAGCAGCTCATTTCTGTCTTTGTGCCAGGGTATGGGGCCATGAGGAAGAGCATTTTCACATTTTCAGAGACCCCAGCAGGTCTCACTGTTCCCATCTGTGCAGCCAGGGCAGGGTTTGTGCCTTCTGGAGTGTCAGGGCTCACTGCTGTGCTGGAGCCACGGGGATGTGTATCTCCTCTGGAGCAGGAGGTGGTCTGGGCTCTTTGGGATAGAAAACCCTTCCCATTCTACCCTGGGCTGCAGCAGTGGTGAGGAGCTGCTTGAGCAGGGCAGCTCTGAGCAGAACTGAAAGCAGAAGTGAGGGAAATGTTGGGTTTTACTGAGAGAGAAGTTTGGGATCTGTGCTACGTGCCTAACAGTGCGTTCCTGTCCTCCATCACCAGCAGGACAGTGCTTAACTTCTTTTCTCAAATGTAAAGGTTCTGGTTGCTAAATCTCCTGTGTTTGAGAAGCTGCTGCATGGTTCAGGCCTGTTCTGCTCCTCATTGCTCAGACCTGATGTTTCCCCACTGGGTCTGGGTAATGGGTCAGCTGGCACCTGGTGCTTTGGTTAAACATTTAGGTATGTCCCAGCCTTTTCATGAGCTCAGGCAAGCAGGAACTTGTGTTTTCCTTCCACATTCCTGCTCCCCAAAGCTCAGGCTGAACGTACATCTGTCTGTGGATGCAGTGGAAATCACTTCCTAGGTTAGACCTGTGGGAGCAGGCACAAGGGAGCTCCTGGATGTGCAGTGCTGGGTCAGGAACCTGAAAGGTTGGACTGGCCTTTGGTCAAATAAACATTGAATCAAACTTCATTGTTCTGCAAGTTGTGTTATGTTTTAAACTGAACTCCTAAACTGATAGTTCAAGCAATTTGGATACTCAGTGTGCTAAATCTCACTGCTGGGCTGAGATGTGAACTTGCCATTCTCTTCCCCAACCCTCTTCTGAAGCAACAATTGTACAAACTAGCTTTGTTTTTCTGTAAAAGGTAATGGGAAACTCCTCAGAATTCCAGAAGGCAGTGAAGTTGGTGATTGACACAGTTTCATTTGACAAAGACTCAACAGTCCAAGTTTTTGAGGCAACAATCAGGTATGTGGTGCTGAGTTTGTGTCTTTAAAAGTTAAAGACTGGGAGTGTGTAAATCAAAGTGAAATCATTGATTAGGAGGTCTTTGGCAGGCTTTATTCCCTACATTGTTCTTCAAGTAAGTTGTTTCTTAATCTTCTATGAAAATATTGAACCTTTCATATTGGAAATCATTTTAATCAGTCCTGTGTGACCTGGAGCAGTGGGACAGTGGTTGGCTCTGTGCTTGCAGACTCTGCTTGCAGCAGACTCAGATCTGTGCCCTGATCAGCAGACCCTGGGACAGCTTTTCCTGGCTCTGTTTTTGTTCCATGGACTTCTTCTTTCACTTTCATTTTAGATGAAAAAGACTCTTCTGTGTTGGAAATGGGTTTAGATACTGTCTGATTTTAAAGGATTTAGTTTTCTGAGTGTCTCAAGCAATGTTTATTCCTGCTTCACTTGGCTAGGCTTTCTTTTTTTCTGAATACTAAGTTAATGTAACACCCTTCCTGCCATTTGCAGGGACAAGGAGGTCTTCACTCCTAAACAGACTTGTTACAAGAACTCTGGATTAGGTAAATTTATAGAACCAGGTTTTGGAACTGTGGCTGACAGCAGCATGACTTCCACACATGTTCACTAATGCTGGGGGAAAACCAGGTCATTTTGTGTAGTGCCTGTAAGGAGCACAAAGTAATAATTCTGTCAGACATGACAGCAGTAAGGTGTTTAGGTGAAGAATGAGCTTCAGAACAGACTGAAAACCCGAATTTTCCTTTTCCCACAGGGTTTTGGGAAGCCTGCTGTCTGCCCACATCATAATTACAGACACCAAGCAGCCCTTTGGTGACATGACCATTAAGGATTATGACAATGAGCTGCTGCACTTGGCTCATGACCTGGCAGTGAGGCTGCTCCCAGCCTTTGAGAACACCAAAACTGGCATTCCCTATCCTCGGGTGAGTGACACAGCAGCCCTGGGGGAACAGGCTCAAAGCAGGGTTCCACCTGTCCTGCAACTTCAATTTTGTGCCCTTTTATGTGCACTTGGGGTATTGAGCCTACCCTAAGTTATTCTGCAATGACACAGGGGAAACTGCCCTCAGTTTTGGTGATGTGGGTAATACAAGTTTCTCCTTCTGTCTAGTAAATGTTTTCCCTGGGCTGATTTTCACTGTGTTTATTGTTCCCTGTGGGTCAGGAGTCATTTGTTCCTGTGCTGGTTGGCTGGAGCATTCCCTGCCCTGTGTCACACAGCAGCAAACAATACTGTCATTAACAAGGAATACTGTAAAGGAGCTGAAAGTGTCTCTATTGGTGACTTGCTACTAAAACAATTATATTAGAGTAAAACTCTTTTGAAATATTTATCATACTGGGCCTGCAATTTGTAATTTTCCTGAAGACTGCTCAGTGGGTTCTCAATACTCTGGATTCTTGGATGCTGCAGCCTCTTGTTTTAAGCAGATGCAGTTGGCAAGGAGAAGGATATCACTACCACTGGAACAATCCTAAACTGCAAAACTATAATTGGCACTTGCCTGGCTGCTCTTAATTTCTGGAGACAGCAGCACTGCTTTTCCTCCAGACCTGCCAGGCTGTAGAAATGTGAATTTTGACTTCTGTTCAGGGCCTGGTAAAGTAGCTGAGGGTACTGTAACTTCCCTTCCGTGCCATGTTCCATGGGGAAGAGGAGGAGCGTGCACTGAGGAAGCTCTTGGTTCCACCAGCACAAACTGAGGGGCAGCAAAGAAGGAGAAGTCTGAATGTTTAGTGGAAGGCATGAGAAAGTGAAGTTTGCAGGGGTTAGCAAGTATAAGAGAAAAATGAGGCTTGACCATTTTATTGATGTTGTAAAGCTGGAAGAAGAATGTCAGGAATTCTACAGGAAAGCTTTCCAAGTGTGCTGGTTTTGTCTCTGTGCACATTCCATGCTTCACCAGAAAGGCATGTTCCTAAAGGTGAGGGTGCAGCTACAGGAATTCTACAGGAAAGCTTTCCACGTGTGCTGGTTTTGTGTCTCTGTGCACATTCCATGCTTCACCAGAAAGGCATGTTCCTAAAGGTGAGGGTGCAGCTGTGAGCACAGCTGGCTGAGTGCAGCCTGCCTGTCCCTGTCCACAGGTGAACCTGAAGAAGGGGGTTCCTCCAGACAGCCACAATGAGACCTGCACAGCAGGAGCTGGATCCTTGCTGGTGGAGTTTGGGATCCTCAGCAGGCTGCTTGGGGATTCCACCTTCGAGTGGGTGGCCAGGAGAGCTGTGAAGGCCCTGTGGAGCCTCAGGAGCAATAACACTGGACTGCTGGGTAATGTCTGCCTGCTGCTGTGTTAGCCTGTCTCAGGCTGGGCCATCAGGCCACAGCTCCTTCCTGTGTCCTCACCTTTGTCCTTCTGCTCCCTTTGTAGCTGTTCAGTCACGTTCTCCTTGTGTGCCCAGGGGTTGTGGTGAACTAATGGCACTTTGGGGCTTTCTAAGAAAAATGGAGTCTCTGAAAGACTCCTTAGGGCACAGGTTTTCAGCTCACATTTTTCACAAAACTGGGGAATGGAACTGAAGGCCCTGATTTGTGTCCCCATTAATATAATTCAGATTGGCAGATGACTAAAAGTACTTAAAATAACTGCATGTGTGTGGGTGTTTCTCAGATGAATCCACCACTGTAACACTTCATCTGATGTTAATCTTTGATCCTTCCTCCTTGGGAATTTCTGAACCTGTGATAGATATTCCCAAGTCTTGACTGGTTCTTTCTCTCTGATATACTCAGCAACCTCAGACTAAACTTGTTCTTTGTTCTGAAAGGAAACGTTGTGAATATCCAGACTGGCCACTGGGTTGGAAAGCAGAGTGGACTGGGAGCAGGGTCAGATTCGTTCTATGAGTACCTGCTGAAGTCCTACATCCTCTTTGGGGAGAAGGAAGACCTGGAGATGTTCAACGCTGCTTACCAGAACATTCAGAACCACTTGAGGAGAGGGTATGTGATTCATGTCAGCATCAGTTCCTTGAGCACTGAATCCTCCAGCGGATCTGAAACACGTCTGTTTGTAGTGCTTTGTGTCATGCCCTAGAAAATCTGTCCTCCTTTTTCCTGTAAGAAGCAAAATCTCCTTTCCATGCTAGTCTCCTCATTCCTCAGGAACTGATGGGGTGCAGAGAAACCAAACTGTTTCCTGTCCCATTTATAAATGTTAAGGCTGAGAAAAGTCTGGCACTGCAAAAGAAATGTATTAAATTGGCTGCTTTGTTCTTCTCGAAGCCTGATCTTGCCTAGCATGACTTTTTGGTAGAACTTCTGCTGGCAGAGCTCTAAGACAGGATCCCTTTATGAATTACCTTCTTGAGAGCATGACTGTGTTTGGGCTCCTTCCCAAGGAGCCCAGCACGGCAGGGCAGGGGCTGCTTGCCTCAGCTGGTGGCAGTGTGCTGTGTGCTGCCCAGCAGAGCACTGCCTGCGTTGTTCCTGCAGGAGGGAGGCCTGCAATGAGGGGGAAGGGGACCCACCCCTCTACGTCAACGTCAACATGTACACGGGCCAGCTGATGAACACCTGGATCGACTCCCTGCAGGCCTTCTTCCCTGGACTGCAGGTGAGCTTTCCTTCTGGGCCAGGCCAGCTGGAAAGGCCCATCCTGATCCTGGGCTGGGACTGAGTCTGACTTCTGAGCTGAGCTCCCAGCTGTGGGTTTGCATCTGGCTGCTCTGATAAGGGTTCAGTTCAGCTCTGCATTAACACAGCAATGTGGGGAGGCCTGGCCTGCTCTCTGCCAGATCTGAGACTTTCAACTTCCCTCTTTTAGCCTCAGCATTTGTATTCTGTGCTGTGAGGTTCTGCTAAAGCTTTTACTGCAAAGAATGAATGCATCAGTACTTTGGGGGGTTATTTTCTGTGTGTTTTGTGGGGGAAGAGTTGTTTTAGGTGCCACACCTCATCTTTGCTGGCCTGCAGCACTAAGTGTGTGCCTGTCTGGCTGCTCTCGTGCCCAGGTGTTGATAGGAGATGTGGAAGATGCCATTTGCCTCCATGCCTTCTATTATGCCATATGGAAACGCTATGGGGCTCTCCCAGAGAGGTACAACTGGCAGCTGCAGGCCCCAGATGTTCCCTTCTACCCGCTGAGGCCCGAGCTGGTGGAGTCCACATATCTCCTCTATCAGGTATTTGACTTCCCTGGGACCAAAAGCTTTTGTTCAGAAAGTCACTTTATCCCCCCTGACCTCTGGCCAGCTGAATTTTGGCAGCCCTGGAGCTGCCTGTTGTCCTGTGGAGTCTCTGGGCAGGCACTGCAGTGTTGTGCAATGTTGTTGCTCTGCTGTTTGCTTCAAACACAGCCTTTTTTATAAGGCAGGCAAAAACACTAAACAACCTTTTCTAAAAGCTGCTGGCAGATTTTTACAAGGCAGAGACCTGTGACTGCTCAACCAAAATTTTTGCAGTAAATGTAACAGCTTTCCTTGCAATACTGGCCAGGCACAGATACATAAACTGAAATAACTGTCTGCCTACAAGGAAGGGATCTGAGAGTTTGGATTTACTGCAGGTTTTGTAGGATTTGCACTAAAGCAAATGTGAGAAGCTTGCACTGGCTAATCCAAGTCATGCTCCTATAAAGATAAGTTTGCTGTGATACACAAGACTCTGGTACCAATAGGCCTTTGTTGTGTTATTTTTAAGGATTTCAAAATTGCTGACTCTAACTCTTGTCTGTCTTCCTTATTTAGGCCACAAAGAACCCATTTTACCTTCATGTGGGAATGGATATTCTGCAGAGTTTGGAAAAATATACAAAAGCAAAGTCAGTCTTCAATGTTCTTTTCTTCTCTCAATGCTATATATCTACATTTTATTATACAAACATTATATAGAATCCAGTCTGCCACATGTAGGTAAACCAGAAAACCCAGCCCTCCTTGAAAGCCACAAGTGATGATTTATTTATTGAGCACTTCTTTCCTTTCCATCTGAAAATGAAATTATAGTCCAGTGGCAACTTTATACCATTGGAATTTTATCACTGCCTTTCAAAATGCATTGTTGATGAATCAGCTGCTAAAAACTGCTGAAAATAATAGTTGGGATTTTTCCTAGGGATCCTGCAAGATTATTTCTCACCTCATGATGTTTGGCTGACCTGAGGGATGGCCCCTAAGGCAGATGCTGTTGGGTGACAGCTTCCAGTTCAAGACAGCAGCAGTGAATCCTGACTTTAGCACTGAGTAGCTGAACTTCTTGCAAGGCTCAGGGGGAAGACAGTCAAATTTTATTCCTTATTGTTAATTGACTCATTTTCTAGACAAATGTGTAATGCCTGGCCAGGTCAGACATTGCTGGTGAGTGGGGTTCAGGTGCTCACAGACCCCTCAGCACCCCAGAAGCAATAACCAGTGAGTGCTTGCACAACACAGTTGTTCCCTTGGACTTGCCCCTGGCAGCTGGAGTGCTCTGAGTGAGGGGATGCTGAGAGCAGCACAGCTGGAACTGAAGCCATGTCCCTGTTGCAGGTGTGGCTATGCCACGTTGCACCACGTGGTGGACAAGACCAAGGAGGATCGAATGGAGAGCTTTTTTCTCAGTGAAACCTGCAAATATTTGTACCTGGTACGTGTGTGCTCCTCACTGCCAAGGCACTGCACAGAAATGGCACAGGAAGGGGCAGGAGCTTATTAATTATTAATTAGGAACTGGGTTGGACTGGGGGCAGGGCACCATTGGTGACAACCTGCTGGGCTCTGGGGTTTGGGTATGGGGGTGATTCAGGCTCTTTTTTGACCTCACCCCAGTCTCTGAGCTGGGGCAGCTGCCCAGCCGTGGTTCCTGAACCTGGAGAGCTGCAGATCTTTGGGAAGAGGCTGGAAAGGAGCAGGACTGGAGGGAGCTGCTGCCCAGCTCTGCTTGCAGCCCTCCTGCCTGGGGCAGCCTGTGCTTGCTGCCTGCTGGGCCGTGGCACTCACAGGAGAAAGCATTTGGGCTGACATTGCCTAAGCCCCTGTTCTCAATCTCCTTTAGTCAGAAAACCAAATAAATCTGTGACTGAGTGGATGCCAGCCTAGAAATGCCTCACAGAGCAGCTTAGAAAAATAAGGGCACTTTAAGTTGTGTGAGAAGTGTTTCTTCTGCTCTCCTCTTCTAACTGCTCAGATCAATCCCTTGCATTAAGACTATTTATTTCCATTTGCTCCAGCATTATTTAGCACTAAAAGGTATTTTTGTGTGATCCTTCAAAGCGTGAGTACCTGCTCCCAGCTGCTTGGTACTGGGAGGTGAAGGATGGGGCACACCTACAATGCCTGCCTCTCCCCTCTCTCCTTCAGCTGTTTGATGAAGAGAATCCAGTGCATAAGTCTGGGAATAAGTTCATGTTCACTACTGAGGGCCACGTGGTGTCTGTGGACGAGCGTTTCCGGAGCTCGCTGTGGGAGGACATCCTGCCTGCAGGGGAGGACAGCCTCAGAGCCAAACCCTCCGAGCTCAAGGCTGCCAACTTCAGCTCCAACGTAAGCACCACAGGCTGCTGCTGCTGCCCAGGGCAGGGCCAGGCAGGACACACAGAGCCTTTGCTAGTGCTGCTGTAGAGGGTTCCCTTAGAAATGGCAAACACCCGAGGAGCTCCCCTGAAAGGCACTTCCAGCAGCAGCATAAATGGGATCACATGTGGGATGCTGGTGAAGGTGAAGCCTGTCCTCCTTGAAGTATTTTGCAGCAATTTTTTTTTTGTTCTTTGTAAATTTACTTCCAATTGTTTTTCTCTTCCCCTTTTCTTTGCCCTTAAAACTCTCCAGTGTTGCTGTCAGGGGCAAAGGGAGAAGCAGAGGGTCATCTAAACCAAGCTTTGTCTTCCTCAGCGTGGTTTTGGGGGATGGAAAGGGGACCCTTCTTAGCAAGGCCTCAACTGACCCCAGAGCTGTGGCTTCAGTGCCCATCAGCAACCAAAACAAATCTGGTTTTAATCAGAATGACTTGAATTGAAAGGACCTCAAAGATCACCTCATTCCACCCCCGTGGGCAGGGACACCTGCCACTAGAGCAGTTAAGGACAATTTAAAAAAATATCTCCTGGTAGGTTCTGGTGTGGTTTTCTTCCCTCCTCCCCACAGAGCTCCAGAAAAAGAGCATTATTTTAAACGTTCACAGTTGTCATAGTGAAGGAAATCCCAGTTGCACAACAAGCTGTGCTGTGTGTTTGGAAGCTGCAGCCTGCTCTGAGGAAACACTTGCTGCTCATTTATGGGATTTGTGCTGCAAGTCTGCAAAGAACGAGGGAAAGTTGGGGGAAAAAGTGTTACCGGGTACAGTTTTCTGTACTGGGAGGATCTGAAAGGATTGCAGAGGGGATGCTTGCCTGGGATTGGATCTGAGTTCTTAAAAAGATGTACATTTTCTCAACAGTGTAACAGAGTCCCTGATGAGAGGAGGTACCTGCTGCCCCTCAAGAGCAACTACATGAGGCAGATCGACAGAATGGTGGGACTGATCTGAGGGACTGCAGGGCCCTGGGGGCAGCCTGGCATCCTCTGCACACACTGCTGCCCTTCAGCTGCTCCCTGCACAGGCTGGCTCCCCCAGGTGTCCCTGGACACAAAGGGGATGGAGCTCACTCCTCCGAGCCGGGGTAACCCCCGTGCCACCTGAACAAACAGCTCTTGTTTCAAGGCTTCCTATGAGAAATGTTGTTGCAAATGAAGGCTGAATATATTTTAAAAGGAAAAGAAGGCAAATTGGCCTGTGCCACCTAGCTACCTCTTTGTAGCTGTGTTACAAATGTCCCTCTAGAGCAGGGTCTGGTATTTAATTTGAAATGATCTCGGGGCTTGGGGAAGGAGTGGGGAAGTGCAATTTTTTACACCAAGTTGAATTATTGAATTTTTCTGACTAGCAATACACAACCTAAAGGTCTACTCAGGTAGGAACCCACTGGGTTTGCTGAAACAAAACTGCTCTGTGTACTCTTGGAAAGATCACTGCAGGTGGTGTAAGAGCTGCTGGAAGAGTGTGCCATCCCTGACACCCACAGCTGACAGAAGCTGCAGGGCTGTGGGAGCTGCAGGACCCAGTGATCAAACCAATCAGGTGCCTTTTTGCAAGGGAAGGGGGGAGGGAAGGGGGAATTGCAAAGCCACTCAGGCAGAAGTTCCCAAAGTTTCCTTGTTTGCCAAGTTTTAGTGCCTTTTCAGGAGAGATGCTGCTAAGAACTGGTGTCGCAGTACATGAAGAACAAATTATTTCACATTCCTGACAGGATTCACGTGTTAGTGCCTTAAGTTCTCTTCCCTAGCAGGGAAAACTGAGCTTCCTTGGGAAGATGGAAAAGTATTTCTGATGAGCTGGCTGCAGAATACAGTGGAACCCAAAGTCACTTAAAAAGAGGTGTTTGGAGGTTTTTTTGAAGATACTGGAAAAATATCTATGAACTTTCAGGAAGAAGGCAGTTAAGGGCTTGAGGGATGACAACAAACTGAGGCCAAAACAGCTATTTTAAATATACCAAGTTGGGTTTTTTTTCCAGTGGTTGCTTATATACTTCTAATTTTTAACTACAGTTGAAGTAGTAGAATGTTATTTTTGGGTTAATGACTTTTAAATTGAGGCATAAATACAAGGGCAACTCGATCTGCTGTATTTTCACCTTCTTACAACAACATTGGTTTTCATAAACCACGTGTTGCAACTCAAAACATTTCTAATAAATATGAAGTTTGTGCTGGAGAGGTTATTGTTGGAATCTTTTAATGTACAGATACATCTCAGGGACTTTGTTGTAGAATCTTCTATTCCATGATTGAATCTTGTATTCAGGCAAAAAAAAAAATCATCAAATCTTATTAGTCTTATTATGTGTGTTTGAGGGGGTGAAGGGTTGGAGGGGGGAGAGGGAAATAGGTTAAAATTTCCCAAAATGTTGCAATAGGATGGGTTGCCTTGGTGTTGGAGGCAGCTGGTGATTCCAGCTCCTGTAGCTTTGCCAAAGGTGTTTCTGGAGTGTCTGAGTTGTGTGTTTCAAGGACAGCAGGAATTGAAGGTGTTGTGATGCAGAGGTGTTGGCAGAGGTTCAGGCTGTGCTGCCAGCACAGGGTGAGGAGGGCAGCAGGATGGGCAGGGGCCCTGCTGCCCACCCAGGGCACAGGGCTGGCCTCTCAGACCCTGCTCCAGCTCTGCAGGGAGCAGTGCTGGGGTGGGAGCCCAGCACAGCATCCCAGCCTGTCTGGTGAGCTCACGGGGTGGGCAGGACACCAGGACAGCCAGGACACCAGGACAGCCAGGACACCAGGACAGCCAGGACACCAGGACAGCCAGGACACCAGCACAGACAGGACACCAGCACAGACAGGACACCAGGACAGACACACCCTGAGTGTACTGCTGGCTTCTCCTGCTCCAGGCTTGTCCCTGACTCCCAGTTTAGCTCCCTGAATGTGACTCTGGCCACTCAGTGATTGCTTTCTGAGCTCCTGAGCCCAGGGGAGGGCCCCAGCCCAGGATTGTGCACAGAATCCATTCCAGAGCTTGCCAGAGAGAATTCCAGGACTGGGAGGAAGTTGCACAACTGTTCTGCCTTTGTGTTTTCCTTGTGATTGCCAGGAAGAGTGAAAGGTGGCTGAGAATGAGAGCAGCCCAGACAGGAATTGCAGCCTTCCAGGCAAACACGGTCAGCTTCCCTTGGGAATTGCTTTGGAATTTCTGCTGCCAGGTGATGTGACAGTCATCTTTCCATAGGAATGCTCTTTATCCTCCCAGCAGCTGCTGGTAAAAGACTTTGTGTTCCTTCAGGAGCCAACCTTTCTTCCTCTTTGTCCTAAAACTTGGATACGTTTTTACTCTGTAAGGACAGGGCACCTGTTGTGCACTAAAGTGAGAGCTTTTGTGCAAGCCACTGGCATCAAAATGGAGCTGATAACAGTGCTGGAATCACTTGCTGAAACAGACTCTTGTATTTCTTGGTATCTTGTGCAATATCAGGTTTTCTGAACTGAAAGTGCCATGTATGCTTAATTGTTATTTATCCATGAAGTATTTAACTGAGAACGGGAAACTTGGAAGAGGACCAAATGTGCTTTCATGAAATGTCCTGAATTTTCAACACTTGGCTTGCCTTTTGCAAATCTCCATTAAAAAATAGTGTGTTTGACTACTTTGATGTGTGTTTGTCCTGCAGGGATCTCCCTGCACCTTCTGTGCTCTGGGATTTCATCTGGTTAGAGCTGGGACAATCCCATCTGTCCTTCCTGCAGGAGAATAAACCCACCCCAAAACAACAGGGCTTTCTTCTCCCTGTCCCCCTTCTCTCTATGAGGGTTTGGGGGCAGCTGAGAGCAGGGATTGGTGTGGGATAAGTGAAGTGTGGCCTCCCTGCTGGGATTCCCAATCCTTTGTCCAATCAGTCCATGGAAAACCTGGAATTCTGCACCTTGCTGGGCTCTCTCCAGCCCATGGAGAGCCAGCCTGGGGAACAGTTTGTGCTGGGTTTGAGAACAGGAGCTGGAAATGAGCTGTCTGACCATCACTTTGATTTATTGGTTCTCCTTTGCTGCTTTTCCCTCCCGGATTTGTTTTCTGTCTGATTGGCATTATCTCCCGTGCTGATTCCTGCTTTGCAGTCCTGGTGCCGGGGCTGTTGGAGCTGCCAGGACATTTCTGTGTCTGGATCAAGCTCCACATTCCTGGGAAATGTCTGTTGAACATTGGTGATGGGGATTTTGCAGTGGTTTAAAAGCTCCTCTGGGTTTTTGGATCATGAGATCTTTGCCTTGCTTTACTTTTGCTGCATTCAGACTTCTGAGAGTCAATTCTAAGGTGAGTGTAAAGGGGCTGAAATGCTGATTTTGGGGCAAGCACCCCAGCTCTGATGGCTTTTCCCTGTGGCTGCACATTTTCCAGTGGAGTCTCTGTCCTGAGCTGCTGTTTGCTGTCATTCCTTAGCTTGTGGTGCTGCCCCATCTGCCCCCAGAGGGTTGAGCAGCTCTGGGTGGGACTGAGTGCTTTGCTTGCAGCTTTTCCAGCCCACATTTAGGAAATTATCTCCAAAAAAGCCACTCTGCCATCGTTGCTTTCCTGGCAGACTGGAGTGGAGCAACACCGCTTGTGATGCAGGATTTAAATCCAAAGATGGGATTGAAAACTGACTTTTTCAGGGTGAAATGCAGGGAGGGCTGGGTTGAGAGCAGGCAGAGGTGTGTGGTGCTGTAGCTCCGCTCTGCCTCCAGCAGAGCCCTCCCTTGTGCCGCGGTTCGAGGCTTGGAAACCTCGGTGTCCCCGGGGCTCGGCGCTGGAAAAGCACATTTCCAGCTTCCCTGGCAAATGCGGGATTAGCGCTGCCCGGGAGCTGCAGGGCACACGGCACTGCTCGCTCCTGGAGATGTTCACCTTTATCCGGCCTTGCAGCTGCTTTTCGAGAGGGATTTTGTGCCACTGATCACCTCTTGTGTGCTTTATCCACCCGAAAGGCATCAAGAAATATTCCCTGGAGCTGCTGTGTGCCTCTTCAGCCTCCCTTGTCCCCGCTCTGATCAGAGGCCGCTGGTTTGGAGCCGTTTAACTGAAAAGCACCTTTTTTCCCCCAAAGATTTGTGTTGGCTGGCGTTTATCAGGGCTGTGGAGGAGGAGAGCTCGGGAGCAGCTCCAGCCTGGCCAGAGGTTGCAGTGCCCAGGGTGGGCTCTGATTCCCAGGGGGAGGCAGCACCGTGTTCTCCCAACAGCAGCCCTGGGAAGTGTGTGTTTGGGTTTTTTTTTTTTTGTTTTATTTTTTTTTTGTGTGTGTTTTTTTTTTTTTATTATTATTTAGGAAACGCTGGTAAGGAGGAGAAAGGCACCAGCCCTCAGCTGGTGAGGATGCTCTGACCTCCTGCAGGAGGCACAGCTGGGAACTGGGAGAACTGGGAGAGCTGGGACAGCCCCAGCCCAGCCTGGTGACCAGGGCTGCATTTACTGGGTTCAGGGAGGAGTTCCAGTCTCCTTGGGGAGCAACTGGTGAGACTGGGAGTGCCCCAGTGCCCCCTGCCCTGGGGGGAGATGAGATCGTGGGGGAACTCCCTGGGACTGGGATATTGTTGGAGAACTCCCTGGGATTGGGATATTGGGGGGAACTCCCTGGGATTGGGATAGTCTGGGAGAACTCCCTGGGATTGGGAGATTATGGGTACAACTCTTTTGGTTTTGGAGATTGTGGGGAGCACTCCCTGGAATTTAGAGATTGTGGGGAACGCTCCTTGAAATCTGGAAGGGGAGATTTCATGGAGAAATATCCCTGGAATTTGGAGGTTATGGGGAGAACTCCCTGGGATTGGGGTAGTGTGGGGAGATCTCCCTGGAATTGAGATTGTGGGGAGAATTCCCTTGGCATTGGACGATCACAGGGAGAACTCCCTTGGGTTTTCCATACTCGAGGCAGGTGCTCTAAATTACAAAAAATCCAGACAAATTAAGTGAGGGGAAAAAAAAAAAAGAATATTTCAGTTTATTAATACTTTTGAATAATTGAAATTACTCGCTGGGTAGGGCCCGGGGGCTTTCCAATAATGGCAATCTGCATATTGTTAATTATTTATAATGTTCATTTGGGCTCAGTCATCGCTACCATGAGCAGCTCTTGGAAAGCTCCATGAATCACCTGCTCGTGCTGTGGCAGCAGTGCAGCAGCGTGGCTCTGCCACAGAACTTGGTGTGGAACACAAACCTGTGGCCTGAACAAACACTGCTGTTCCTCCAGAGGAGAGGGAGCTTGTACAGCAGCCTTCAGGAGGAAGAATTAACTCTAGAAAGAGTATTTAAATAAGCATTTTTAATAGATCAAATATCCCCGTGCTCGCAGACGCTGCTTAATGAGAAAACAAATGATGTGGGAGCTGCAGATTCTCTTTTTTAATATTTATGTGCAAATGATTCCCTCTGCTTTCCCTTTGCTTCCCTGCCTGCAGCCGAGTGCAGGGGTGCACCACGGCAGAGCTGGGGAGCTGGAGGAGAGCAGGAAGGACAATTATCCAAAATTTGGTGGCAGAAAAATCAGATTCAACAAAGCTGGGGTTGTTTGGGGTTTTTTCCCCCCCCTTTTTTTTTTCTCTTTTTCCCTTTGTTTTATTTTCCTTCTTTTTCCTCCCTTCTTTTTCTCCCTTCTTTCCCCTTCCTTTTTCCTTCTTTTTTCCCCTTTCTTTATTTTTTCCCCTTTTTTTTCCCTGGCTGGGAATGTGAAATAAGAAGAGCAGGAGGTGTGATGTCACACCTGGGATTCCCTGGAATTCAGGAATGTTGGGACAATCCCCTGTGCCTCAGCCCTGGTTTATCCACAGCCTCCTCACCCCGGGGATGTGGAGATGGAGCACGGGGCAGAGCAAGGAAGGTTCAGAAAGTACACTTAAAACCTCAGAAATGCCATTTAAAAAGTTTATTTTACCTTTATTCCTGCACTTTGTCAGCTGGAGTGGCCATGACCATCAAATCCCAAAGCCATGCTCAGCCCGCCCTTCCCCTTTCTTTTCCAGCTTTCTCTCCAAATCTGCCCTGGAATGATTTCTCCTCAGTGCACAGGAATGCTTCAGCTCCGTGATTAATTAGTATTGCTATTAATACAAGATGCAATTCCATTGGACTAATCTATCTTATTGGTCAGGCTTTAATTAATTAGGTAATAAAAGCAACCCTAAAAAACCCCTTTGAATGCTGCTTAATGAAACCCATGGATCTGCTTATTAAGAATTAAAACCTTTCTCTCTTTGATACTTCTCTGCTTTATTAAACTCCGCTCCACTGCTTTGTGTGGTTTGTCCCATCAATAATGAGGCTCTTTCTTCCGAATTGCTTGGTGTGAGCCAAGAAATCTCATATTATCTAATTAGGGACAGCTCTGCCTGCAGAAGGAATACAGCAGCAGCAAAAGCCATTTGTTCTGGGCATTTTGTGGGGTTGTTATCATTAAAAATCCCCAGTCTCACCCACCCTGCACCTGTTTCATGTTAAAAATCAACTTTGTAGAGGAAGAACTGCTTCCACCCTGGGGCAGCTCCAGTGGGACTCAAAGGAGCTGGAGGAAAACCCCCTCATTGGGATTTGTTTTCTCTGGATACATCCATCCCTGCCTCTGGATTTTGTGGCCCATCATTATTTTGGTGCCAGCAGGTTGGGAGCAGTGGGTGGGGCAGAGGCTCCTGCTTTGCTTTCTGCTGCTGCCTTTCCTTCCTCCTGCCCAGTTTTTTTTTTGTTTGTTTTTTTTCTGTTTGTTTTGGGGTGGTGTTTTTGTTTGTTTTCTTTTTTCTTTCAGTTTATTTTCATTCTTTTCTCTCCCTTCATTTCCCTCCCTTTTCCCCCTTTCTTTTTTATTTTTGCCCTTTTTTTCCAAGCTGGGAATGCATAGTAAGGAGAAGGGAAGGAGGTCAGAGGGGTTTTCCTGGCACTCACTGTGCTGAAAGTTCAGGGAATTCTCTGCAGGAGCAGCTCGGAGGTTTTGATGTTGGAAGAATCCAGAGTTCCCTTTTTGAGTTTCACCCTCTGTGCTAAAACATTTCTGTCCCAGCATGGCAGGAGCTGCCATTCCCTGGTTTCTGGCTGCGTCCCCAGGGATTTTCCTGCCTGCTCCTGCAGATTTCCAGCTGATTTCCGTCTGTAAATCCACACTTTGCCAGGGCAGAGGCAAAGCCACGCTCTGCCCGTGAGGGCAGATGGCAACAGGAAGTGCAGGAAAGATTTTTTCTTTAAGAAACAACAAATTTCGAGAAAGCCAAAGAGGCACAAAATGATTGTCAAGATGTAATTATTGCAGCGAATGAAAGGCAGGCTGGCTGCTTGAACCTGCCTGCTCGGGGTTATATTAATGTGAAGCATTTAATCATTAGGGAGATGGAATTAGTTCACCCAGACTGATCTCTAAGCTGAACTGGAAAGTTGGCCACAGTAATAATTTCATAAACTTCCTCAGAATAATAATTCTCCTGGACAATTCTGCTGAAGGACATCACCTTGTGGGCTCTGCTTTCCACGTGTGCTTCAGCTGGGAAGAGAGATGGGAAATGGAGCTGCTGGTTTGGAGAGAAAAGATGGGAATGGTTTATTTCCCATGCTGAGGCTCAGGCCTGGGGGAAGGTTCCCTGGATTTGCAATGTTTCTGTTTTATATTTTTAGACTGAAGGTTTGGCTGGGGAATATT